GGCTGAGAATCTTGCAGAGGGGTCAAGTGGACAGTCGTTATTACTAATCTTAGACCTTGTTTGACAGACTGCTTTATAGGGTGCCAAATGCTTGCCCATATTTGCTCTCATCTGTATGATCTAAGCATCTATGATTCTATGATTTCAGCACTTTGTGAATTATCTTTAGCAAAATTTTCTCACCCAGTCATCTTCTCCTGACACTCAACCAAGCAGGTACCACCAGCTTATTTGAGTAACATTTGAGACAAAGCCTAATGAGAAAAAAAAATCCTTTATCAATACATGAGATTCATTCTAGAGCCAAACATCTGCAGTCTTTCTTTAAATGATGATCTGCTCCATCCTCGGGATAACAGAGAGGCCAATTGATGTCTTGTACAGACATAATGAATATATATGACCAGGGATGCAAACTTCAGGGAGGAGTCTAGAAGAAAAATCTCATGTAATGCTGAAGTTCAGCTTCCCTGAGCCCTCATTGGCAGATGGAAGGCCAAGAAAGTGAACAAGACAGGGTCCCACTTGTCATAATGTATGTTTTGTTACTTAGGTATGGGAGGCCAACAGATCAGATAACTGCCATGGAAAAGATTGTTCGCCATACTCATAGGGTCCAGAGGATGGGGCACACCATGCTATACCATGGGGGCCTACCCAGGGAATCCTGGGAGGGTCAGGAGTCAGAGGGAGGGTTGCCAGCAGAACCCCGCACGGTGGTTCCCAGGTGAGGGACTGGGCGGGGGATGGTGAGCAGACTTGTTTGGCTAGCATGATTAAATTCTGTGCACTGTGGGGTACAGGCCCCTACCAGTCCCTAGTTGTCTGGTATCTGGCTTGGGACAATGAGGGTAAAGCAGTAACGGCCCCAAGTAAGAGCCCAATAAATGAGGTTGTGGGATGTTGGCTCTGGCTAGGTAAGCATTTGACGGAAACACTCCCAAGTGAGTGCTTTACTATCTCCAGGAATTGGTTAACCCTGGGAGGGGCACTGCCCCTAGACCCAGCAGGACCCCAGATGTCAAAATGTCAGAACACAGAAGATAAAGTGCATGGTTAATCTCACCCTCCAGGGGCTTACACTGCAGGAGAGGAAGAAGCCAAGGAAGCTGGAACTGGACCACAAGCCCAAGCCTCAGGCTCTCAACTGTAAGAGACCGTAGACTGTGTAAAGCATGAGATTTCTGTAGAACCCCTCACCTGTGCTTCCATGAAACGATTAAATACAAGAGGAAGGTGGCAAATGTTGTAGCAGAACCTAGTGCTCTGGGAGGAAAAGGAAAAGGTGGAAGAAAACTGAAAATCAGGCTGGTTCGGAAGGAGGCCCAGATGTTGGGTTTAGGGATTGGCACAGAACCGTCACAGGAATAAGCAGGCTGCTGATGGTAATGGGGTAGCGGGTGGATTGTTCATCTTCTGAGAGGCTCCAAACAGAAAGGAATTAGAGCGCTTCTTCTCCCCTACCCCAGGGGACACTGGCAATGTTTGGACACATTTTTGGTTGTCATCTTGGAGGACAGAGGGAGTCCTGCTGGTATGCAGTGGATAGAAGTCAGAGATGTTGCCAACATCCGACAGCACACTGAGAGCTCCCGCCTCCAATCTCACCAGCAAAGAAATGTTCCCATCTAAATGCCAATAGTGCCAAGGCCGGAAACCTCAGAGAAAACGATGGTTATGAAAACATCATTCTTCTATATGAAAACATCTTCTAATACTTGATCCCCCAAGTCAGAAGGACCTAATATTCACCAGGATATTAGCCAGAAAGAAAGAAGGACAGGGAGCCAGCTGTTTGCAACCCATGTAGTCCCCTCTAAACCTTGCTGTCAGGCTGGAGGAAAAGGAGAGGAAACATGGGTCTGAGGGTACTGAGTGTCAATCAGACAGAGTGAGTAAGTTCTGAAGATCCATTGTACAGTATAGTGACTACTGTTAATCATGCTGTGTTGTATACTTGGAAATTGCTGCCAAGTAGATCTTCATTGTTCTCATCGTAAAAAAGACAAGTATGGGAGGTGATGGATATGTTAATTAGATTAACTCAGCCATCTCATAGTGTATGCATATATCACAACATCACATTGTATCTCCTAAACACAGTTGGTCCTGAGTATCTGTGGATGACTGATTACAGGACACACAAGCCACAGAAACCCCCCAAATCTACAGATGCTGAAGCCCCTCATGTAAAGTAGTGATCCTCTCTACCTATAATACCTAATACAACAGAAACACTATGTGAGTAGTTGTTATATTGTATTGTTCAGGGAATAATGACAAGAGTAAAAGTGTGTACATATTCAGTACTAATGACATTCCTAAAAAATATTTTTGATCTGAAGTTGATTAAGCCTGTGGATCTGAAGCCCACAAATACAGAGGGCTAAATGTACACATAATTTCCATCTGACAATTATACCTTAATGAAGTGGGTAGGAGATGAAAGACTCAAAAAGAAAAGGGATGAATCTTTGTACCATCTGTTAAACTGTACTCTGTTGGGGCAGGAATCACATGTGTCAGCTTTGACAGAGCCCCCAAATATATTAGCAATACATTTTTGTTGAACGAATGATTTTTGAAAATTAAATTAGATGATGTGCTATCCTCACCGGGAGCCCTCATAAATTTGATGAAATGCACTGAGATGGTTTTTTAAGGTTTGCTTTTTGAATAAGTAGGGTTTTAGATTTTTATGAAGTCAAATCTGTCTACCTTCTCTATGATTTCTTCTTCTTATCCTTCTGAATTTAAAAAGCCCCTCAAATACACTCTGGAGTCCTTATCAAGAATTTGGTAAACATTCTCTTCCTTTTTAAAAACTAATTTCTTATGGTTTGCAGCCTTTACATATTTACCTGTTTAATCCAGTCTTTCCCAGAGGCTGGTGCAATAATCATGTAAGATGTTTTTAGGAATTCCATTGGTAAACATTGTTGTATTAATGGTTTGATGAGTTTTTAAATGAATATGTAACCATAACATCGAAACTGTATTTTCCAGATGGTATTGTTTAGAATTGTTTAAACATGAGTCCACTTTAAAATTTAGATGGTTTTGCATAATAGATATGGAAAACTGGTGATAGGGATTTGAGGATGATTAAATTTTGGGAGACTCTGGTTAAATCCATTTGAAATTTATTTTGCTGTCTAGGGTAGGATACTCACCTGATTTCCTCCCATCACACCACCAGATTGTTAACCAACCACTCCAAATCATTTATACATTTCTCCTTGATAATGATTTTTTTAAATCATGCATCAGTTCTCATATGCCAGAAGGTCCTTTTTGTCTCATTCATCTTTCATTAGTCTTGAGTTATTACTGTGCTTTTAATTACTGTGCTTGACTTAATATCTGGCCCAGCGGGCCTTCCCGTCCCACAGGAAGGCTGATTTTGAGGGCTGGGTCGGGGTAGGGGTGTGAAAGGACAGTGATATGTGGGGAGCAGTGCACCCTGCTAACCCCTTGGGCTGCAGAGGGCTATAGTTATAGGACTGGAGCTGGCAGGATGTTCTCAGATTGCAAGCGGGCAGTTCAAGAGCTCTGCCTCCAAAGGGAAATGGAGAAAGACAAAATAAATAAATGAGTACAGGCATGAAATTAAAATGAGAACTCTGATACTCTGTGCCATGAAGAACTAGACTCGCAGGGCTAACATTTGAGACTTAAGGGGACCCTTGAGGTGAGACACTGGGTGAGCCCTGACGCCTTACCGATGGTCCAGTCATCTGCCCATGAAGTGGGAGAAAATTGTCTATTGGCAAATTGTTGGAAAAACATTTCAGTATTTCAGGACATGTACATATAAACACACATACACACAATGTTACATATGTAAGAACACTGATACTAAGGAAAGCAGGTAAAGAATCCACACTTAAAACTACTATGCAGATAAGCCTTTCCCCCAAGGAATTCTCATTAAATGACAGGGTTCCCTCAAATGCATAGCTTCCCCAGTGATTTAAATTGTTTCTTTGGAGTGCACCAGCACCTTGACTGAAAGACTGAATTTTTAAAAACAAGTAGAGTACTTCCCCACACCACACACTTTATAAATCAGTGGGTGAGAATTTTTTAATTAATGAAAATAGTCATCTCATTTGTAGCTTTTCTAAAACACATGCAGGTCACAAAGTGGGGTACCAGGGCCACATATATTCATTCATCCCCTAGCCTGTGTGATAGCAAAACAGGATGGGACTTTGTGGCTAGACAATAGAGTTTGGCAGAACTGCATAGAAGATGGGCTTGAAAAGGACCTTAGAACACTTTTACTCCAAAAGCATATGCTCCAGGGAAAGGAATATGGAACCCTATTACCACCTGCCTCCTGCCCAGCTCCTACAAAATAACACCATTAATATTATTTATCCTGTCACTAAAAAGCAAACTGTTAATTACATTTGCTTAGAGATATGATTGAATTAGCCTTGCTGCCTCTGTTGAACTTCTGGTGTCTCAAAGTTGGAAATAATGTGATGGACATCTCACCACCTATGGATGGATGCAAGAGAAGCCAGTCAGCAGGTGCTGAGTCATGCTAATGCAAGTGCTGAATAATGCTAAGGCGGATCTGAGTCATGCTGAGTGGCTCTAGAATAGACACTAAGTCATACTAGAGCAAACGCTGAGTCACACTAGGGCAGATGCTGAGTCATGCTGAATTATGCTATCATGCAATGTTAACCAGGGGAGACTAATCCCAAAGGGGTTTATCTCCAGACCCAAATGGGAGTCACAAGTGGGAGCCTTGGTGCTAATTGAAAGTGTTCAAGTGGGAGGCAGGAGAGGATCCTGGAGGCCCACTTCCCTGTAAAATGCTTGGGCTATGGCTGGGACCAGAGCATTGCCCATTCTAAAGAGTCCAGACTGAGAGCTCCTGCTCCCTCTATAGTCCTCCAGATGAGCTGTGGGGTCTCTTGGTGATTGAAGATGGCTTTGCAAGGAAGAACCGGGTTTATAAATAATGCATTTTCTTTGTCTTGCAGGAATTCTGGAGGCAGAGGTACAATCAGATCAGCTGTGAACAGCTTACATAGCAAATCTAATAGGTTTGTAAATTACATTTTGTGTTCATTTGTTTTTGCTGTAAGGCAGCTATTAATCTGCTTCTCCTCTTTGCTGGATGATGCCCTTCTTACTTAGTAAATAGATCTGTTTTGTTTCACTTTGATTTTGCATTTCCCGAATCACTTTTTGGGGAAGCTATCAATGAAAGATCACATGAAATAGTCCAAGGTCTAGAAGCTGCTGAGATGAAAAACACAAATGGGTAGGAATTACTTTCTGGAAAAGATCCCACCCACTTTGTAAAGCATGGGCCACCAACAAACTTGCTTAGAACTTGCACTTTTGCTGAGCCATGGAGGCCCTGAAGGAAGCCAAAACTTTCACCCAATTTCACTGTGGTAAATGGCTGGTCCAGGAGGTTAAAATGAAAATAAAGTACTCAAAATTTTTGCTAAGGCCTCTTGGAACACATAGGGAGTCAACTCAGTAATGTTAACCCTGATCATTAGATGTGCATCTTATGTAACATGACACTGCTACACTGGAAGCCTTTGGGACAATCCTGGCTAGGGGACAGATTGGGGCAAGGGAGCATGCAAATACTTTGCAAGCTGGCAGACCCAGGCTTGCCACTGGCTGCGGCCACACCATGCCTGCAAGTCCCCACTCCCGATCAACAATGAGTGTCCCATACTTCTGACCTTCTGTCTCCCAAGCCCACGTTCAGGAGTAGTGAGGACAAGAGCCAAGTCACTTGATACGGACAAGTCCACTCGTCAAAATGAAGTCCTTGTTTTGCTTTATTACATATCTTCTTTTGGTCATGCTGTAAGTGAGAGGCCCATAATACTCAAAGGACTGTTTGTCATTTGCCCTCCTATAATTTTTTAGGTCTATTGACCATATGAGACCTGTCAAGTATGTTCCTGGCCCCGCATGACTGACTTGAGAAGGTAACCCCTCTGTCCTAGACATCATTGCTTCTAGATCTTTAATGGCATCTGACCTGCTCAGACCTATGTATGAAGCTTATCTTGTGGCTCAAATGCAAAAATGGTAGAAATGAAGGCGAATGCCATATATCCCTCAGTTCCTCTCCGGTCTACTGTGGAAAGAGGCTCTTTCTTGAAAAAAGAGGACACTACCTCTCAAGCTCAAGCCCCCCTGTTTCCATGGTGCAGTCTTATTGACCATGAGAAGTGAGGCCAGTCTTGGGTGCTGGTCAGTCCGGGTTTCAGCTCCTGACCTTCTTAGTTGGGGCCTCAGGCGAGCAATTTCACCCTTTGAGCCTCAGTTTCCATTTGGTGAGAATAATAAGCAGTGGCTTCTTAGAGGGATTAGAACTACTGAATGTCAGAGTCTATCTAGCCTAGCATCTGAGACGATCAAGACACTGCTCATGCTTGTCACTGTCACCAAGGATGTATTTGTGGCATCAGGTGTGACTGAGGATAAAGTTCAGGACTTGGGAGACAATGCCGCTTAACACACCTGTAGAATCACTTGAGAGATGCAAGAAGAGTACTGAGTCCAGGAGTTCAGTGACCGAAGAGAAGAATCTCACCTCTGTAGTCCAGCTGTCTCTGTGCAACATGGAGCATGTAAAACCTGTAAACAGAGGCAGTCCCTGGGGATATGGAATCCATCCAAACAAGAAGGCCAAGGCCAGAAAGCCAAGGCGACTTTCCCAAGGCTCCCAGCCAGACAGCAAGGAGCCAGAGTTAAGTCCAGTAAGATCAGAGATGGTGGTGCAAATAGGACCAAGGTAAAACTTAACTCCTGTCCATGCCAGCATTTATCTCATTCCATTTCCCACTTCCACTACCTTGTGTCTGAGAGAATTCTGGAACCCACGTCCAGAGGCTTCTGCCCAAGCCCCTCTACAAGCTTCCAGAGAGCCCAGCCCTGCAGCTATTTCCTGAGTGAGTCTGGGGCTGCCCCACTCTGGGGAGTGCCCCTGAGGGCTGAATCTACCTGAAGGCATGAGACACAAGCACCAGTCACTGGTTACTAATGAGAGCACCAACCAGCGTGTTCGGAATTCAAGTCCTCATCACAAGCATTAAAGCATTTCCATCACATGCACCTACTGATGTACACTGCAGTGAAGCTTGGGGTCTTGTGTGTGACAGCTGGTCCTGGGTCAAAGTTCCTGCCCAGGGCCATGCAGAAGTAGACAGTACCAAGGGAATGCAATCTGTCGGCTCTTCCTGGCACTCACAAGACAGCAGCCAGTAGTAGATGCAAGAAACATCAGCAGTCCTTTTAGGACTCTAGAAGCTCGAGCCAGATATCTTCCTCTTCTACACCCTCTTCCTATACATAGGGAAACTGTAGCTCAGAGAGGTAAAGTGATGTAGCCATAGTCACACATCTTAGGAAAACTTTCCCCTCCTCTTCTGCTTCCTTTCATGAAAATAGTAGCAATCCTAAAGGGCCAAGTTTTCTGTTTCTTCTTCTCTCAGCCTGCCTGTCAGGAGAAGTCCATCTGCCTTACTCAAAACCCTTTTGTTTCTCTGTACAGTTATATATAGTATATTTGAATCCAAAACAAGTGATATCAGCAGAGGAGTCAGGAATATTTTTGGAATGGAGATGGGAGGTTCATGAAAGACAGGGTATACCCCTACATTAATTTCTTCTCTACCTGAAAAAAAAGCAAAATAGAGCATTGGGTTTAGACCTCGCTAACAGGATTTCATCTTTCTTAACTGGGCCATTGCAAGATAAATTCAAAGGACAGAGATGTTTGGTTTAAACTCTTTAAAGCTCCAGAACTTGCCATCATAAATCCACTTATCATTCTAACCAAGAGAATCTGCTGTCAGAACAAACAAAAGGAACTCAGGATGTGACCCACGTGTGTGTGCCTGCATCTGACAGAAGGCAGCCTGGCTCTTGCACTGCTTTTAAAAATATAATTGTAGCCTAGTTTCTTAGAAACCTACTAGCATAGATTTAAAGCCTCTGAATTCAAGTGATTCCTCTAATGTCTGGTGTACCAGAGTCAGGTGGATGGATGGTTTATACCCAGAATTGTGATCTGCCCCAGGGTACAAAGCCAACCAGCTCCTTCATCCACTCCAGGCTCCCCTGGGATCAATTTCAATGTCAAATTCAATGAACACTTGTTTATTGAGCACCTGCTATACTAGACCATTCGGGAATGTAGGAATGAGGGAGGGAGATGCCCCTGCTTGCAGTCTCATAGGAGAGAGAGACATAGCATGGATTATTCTGTCACAGGTGGAGGTTTCTTATGTCAACAAGAATGATGGGAATAGAGGACAGGAGATAGAACCCACAGGCTGCAAGGACATTGTCCTGGGATGAGGTTTTGTTTTCTCGTTATTAGGTTTGCAAGCTATCATAGGATACTTTGCCACAAATAGAGCTGCTACCTATGAGTTTCTTATCAATCGTTTAAATGGAAAATATTATTATTCTGGTAGTAACTGCCAGGTTTCACTGGGAGGAAACGTTGAAGGTGGAGAGAGAGAAAAATAGTTTTATCACCCTTCCTGTCTCCAAGAATGTATGTTGGTTATACCTAAGGGAGAGAGTTTGTACATTCTAGAAGATAAATAGACTTCCTTCCCTTCTCAGGTAATAACTGCAATTTTGCTCTGCTGAAGTTTACATTCAAGCCTGAGCAAAAACAAAACTATTAGACTTGTTGTTGGTATGCTAGCAGATCGTGTCTACCTTCATCTTTCTTTCCCCCTTCCAGAGCTGAAGTGGTAATAAATGGCTCCTCATTGCCAGCTGTTGTTGACAGAAGTAATGAAAGCATTAAGCACAACATCCAGCCGACCTCGTCCAAATGGAGACACAACCAGACGCTCTCTCTGAGGATCAGGTACTGGTAATTACCTGTAGGACAAGAGCCAGACCTGGCCTTCTTCAGCACAAGCCGGCAAATTGCCACTCTCCATCATCTATGGAAGCAGGATAGAAATAAAACGTTTACCTCCCACAGAGGCAGGTTTCATCTGTAAGTGATCCAGTGGGAAGAAGACCTAGGGCCAGCCAAGCGGCCCGGCAGGTGGACAGAGCCGCTCAGGCAGGGGAGGGGGTGGAACCCCTGCGGAAGGTCAGGGGCAGACAGCACCTGGTGACAGACAGAGGCCACAGGGGCCTCTCCGTCCTGGGCATAAGGAGTCATTCTGTGTTTGGGCTTGCTTGGCATTCCTCTCCCGGTTCTGTGACGGTCCTCCAGTTTGTCCATGGAGTGCTGCCCTGTCCCACCGTCCTGGTAGCTTGACATGCTGTCTCTCCCCTACATGTGAATGAGCACCCAGAGATGGGAGATACAGGATCTGAGTTGACAGCTGAACCCAGACAGCCCTTGTCCTGACCTTCACAGAGAGCAGCTTTCAGGCTGCCATCATCCTGAGGTAGGAGCAACAGGGAAAATAGAGGAGGAATTAACAACTTCACCATGTTGGACACTCAGCTTTGATGTAGCCAGGATTGACCCAACAAATATCAGTCAGTATAATCTAGCTATATTCATTTCCAGGCATTGTGCTGCGGGTCCAGAGGGCTAACATGAGTGAAAACTGTTAGGCAGGGAAACCCAGATATAAAGACAGGACAAGGCGGTAAGCGATACACATTAGGTGGCATTCCATTTATACACAAAGTGGAAATAAGGAGGTTGTACTGAGGAGAGAGTCATTCACTCTGTAAGGGGTCTAAGAGGGCTGTCAGGGAAGGCTAGCCCAGAACATTGGGTTTTGAAGGATACTTAGAAGCTTCCCGGGTATGTAAAGCTGTGTCCTGCATGCAGAGCCTAACATCTGGTTATGTGCCCAGTGCTGCGGGAACACAAAGAAGGAGGGGCCATGGGGACATGGGGTAAGGTTGGGGGTCAGCCAGCTCCAGAGAGGAAAGCCATCAGCATAGGGATGGAGAGAAGACCCGATGACAGTGTGACCACACGGGAGTTGAGTCCCCAGGAAGACTCCCTGTTGACATGGAAGCCCCTACGCAGTTTGAGGTTTGGTTTGGGGACATGAAGGGTCCAGAATGGGAAGAGAGAGGTGTGGGCCTAGGGATCAGGTGGCCTAGAAACCATCTACAGGAGCTGTCTGTGGGCGCCACTATCTGTCACCCCAATCCTTACTCAGCACCTCTTCCAAGGCCACTGGGTGGGGCCCCACCATTATCATGCCACCTTGACAGCTGCCCCCTTTCATGAGGGGCACTGTGAAGTCAGTGAGACCACTGCCATTTTCCCCTTGGACTACTATAAGAAATAAGCACCATCTTGGTGGTTGAAACAACACAGATTACTCAGTCATCATGTGGAGGCCAAAATTCTGAGCACGCCCTCCTCCCCTAGTCTCTTCCTGCTGCACAATGCCTTCTTCTCCCCTGGGTCTGTGCCATCTGCTCTTCCGTCTCTCCTAAGGACACCGTTACTGGATTTAGGGCCCACCCGTGGAATGAGATGAGCTCACCTCAAGATCTGTAATTTAATTACATCTGCAAAGACGCTGTGTCCAAATAAGGTCACATTCACAGCTTCCTGAGGTTGGGAGGTGCAGTCACCATGTGCCTACCTGTGAATGACATCCTCCTGCCAACACAAGGCCACCTGCAGCCTACTCACCCTTCCTCCAACAGTGAGCAGTGTACGCACATGCACATGCACATGTACACACACACCTTGCTTTTGAAAAACACTATAAGGAGCTTGCAAATATCCAGCCATCTTGGCAAGAACACTGTGCATTTACCCAGAGGGAAAAGGAATGTCCCTCCACTCAGTCAATTAATCACCAAAATTATTCATGACAAAAGATCTTGCAAATGATTTGGAATGATGTTTAATAATTGATAGTAATTTCTCATAATTAGTTAGAAATTAATTCCCTCACAAAAGTACAGTATGTACTTATGGGCTTTCTAGGGGCCCTTTTTTTTTTTTTGCTTTTAAATACTTTGGCATAAGTAATTGCAAGGGTTTTAGCAATTTCTAAGCTATATTAGTGTGTCGCATTGTATAATTCTTAGGAAAGCAGAGTAAATAAAATAACACCTCTGTTTTCCACCAAGAGGTACAAATTGATTTCTCCTGTACCATAGCAAGAGATCCAGCTCACTTGTGTGCAAAGACAAGTGGGCAGAGAGTGCCACTTTCTGCCGAGGGTCCTAATGGCCCCACAGCTGTGCCACAGCCTCCATCGCTAGGCACACATCAGAGTCACCTGACCTGGAGCTCCTGAGTCAGGAATGTCTCAGATGTCAGCCGCAGCTTCTGAGTTCCTCACAGTTCCCCAGGATCGGATGTGCAGCGCCCTGGGAAATGTGCATGTCAAGCGCAGCAGCCTCCTGGACACCAGCGTGCCAGGTGTACAATGGGGCAGCTGACCCACAGATTCTTCCACACGTGAAGTGTGTGCAGATGCTGGGCTTCAGGCTCTGTGGACAGGAAGACCAGAGTCCTATTGTCAGCTCTGGGTTGGGGATCACTGCAGGAAGTGAAACTAATTCCGGTTGATCTGGATACCCACTTCCTTGGTCTTTATGACTTGAATCACTTCTAAAGATCTTTTGGGTAACTGAGGCAGTCCTTTAAGTAGAACCCCAGCTGGGATGCTCAGGCTCCTGGGGCCTGGCTTAGAGCTTTGGATAAAACTCCCCTGGTGATTCCGAGACAACACCGATCCCTTTCCTGCCATGACTTCATTGCTTCTCTCTACTTTGCTAGATGATTCCAAAACTTTCCCCCTCAATCAAAGTTAAATTGCCCTGGAGCCCAGCGAGCTGTCCTTTGATCACCTTTCTTCAGAAACAACACAACAAAGGAGCATTTTTCTACAGGACCAGGGAGACTCTGAGATTCATAAACCCCATACTGGGAAGCAACTTGGGGGAGGGGGCACCAGCCCCACAGACTGGACCAGCCCCTTAATGTCTCAGAGGTGGATGTGCTGTCCCCTCAGTGCCATGCTCCCCTTCACCCTCTCTGGTAGCCCCTCATCCAGAGGCACCCTCCCTGAAGAAGATAAACCACTGACAAATGAGGATATGTGGCATCCTGGCTGGCTGATTCTGGTCAGGTCTCCCTAGCAGATGGTGGCCCTGAATCCTGCTAAGAGAGCAGGTATGGTACCAGGGGCGGGGAGACTAAATGGTTTCCTGGACAGGAGACATCCAGTTCTACACCCAGGCACCAAGGGTAGTAGGCCACCTGTCTGTGAGGTCCCCTTCCTTATGGCCCCTCTGTGAGGCCTGGGATCCATTCCCCAGGGCTTTTAAACTCTTGGCCTCTTTGCAGGGCTGCTGCCTCCCAGCAGGGTAACATAGGACAGGAAAATCTGGGTTGCCAAAGACTATCTGGAAAAAGTCTCTCCGCATGCATTTGTTTTCATAGGAAACAAATCTTAAAGTTCCTGGATGCTGAGAAGGATATTTCCGTCCTCAAGGGGACTCTGAAGCCTGGAGACATAATTCATTACATCTTTGACCGAGACAGCACAATGAACGTGTCCCAGAACCTCTACGAACTCCTGCCCAGAACCTCACCCCTGAAGAACAAGCATTTCCGGACTTGTGCCATCGTGGGCAACTCAGGGGTCTTGCTGAACAGTGGCTGCGGGCAGGAGATCGACATGCACAGCTTTGTCATAAGGTAACCACACATGCAGGTGCTGTGTCCCGGAGCACCTGTTCTCTTGGAGAGTTTTGTCTAGACTCTACTTGCAGCCAAGTTAATCATCTGGGGGACAGAGGGAGGGCAGGACCTATGTAACCTGAGGTGTTCAGATGATTCTGATGTACAGCTGAGGTCGAGAGTCATGGATGCAGAGCAGACACAGGTGGACTATGGCCCTCAGCCTGTTTTTGTAAATGAAGTTTTATTGGAACACAGCCATTGGCTAATTTGCATACTGTCAGTGGCTGGTTTCTAGCCACAGTGCAGAATAGAGTGACTGGCAGAGTTGAAAAGCACTTTTGCTAAAGCAACACACAGAACACCCTGTCTGCAAAGCTGGAAATGTTCATGATTTTGGCCCTTTCCAGAAGTTTCCTGACTCTAAGACAGAGCTCAGTGCAGAAAGTTGCTAAGAAAATCCCCCGTGGTGGCCAATTGTTAGTCTTAAGTTTGCAGGGCTCATTCCAGAGTCCTGGAAGGTGGGGCTCTACTACCTACTTCATTATCCGGTAATCCAAACCTGGGAGTGAGGGAGCGAAGAAAAACCTGAGTCTTGTACTTGACCTTCATTTTCTCTAAAATATCAGCTTTCACTTTTCAGTCACGGGGCACATCTGAACGCAGTTACCCACAGCCCTGACTCCTGGCCCCACACAGACTCAGAAACAAGCAAAGTTAGGCACCTGGAGCCTCAAGTTTCATCCCACACAGCTCCCAGTCCCAGTAGAACTGCATACCCCGGCTCACGTTTCTACTGGGACCGTCCTGAAGCAAAGAGCCGCTTGTTCTGGGGCTTTGGGAAGCAGCCTGATCACAGAGCTCTCCGAACCTAAGGACATGGGAAGAAACCCAGAGCATTACTCTTGCGTCCCCTGGGGCTGGAGAGCTCCCAAAGCGCGCAGCCAAAGCTGCTTCTGTTCTTAGCTTTGGCCAGGTCTCTCTGGGGCTGGCAGAGCCAATGGCTCAGTCCCCATTTTTCCAAGTCCTTCAGTGAGGCAGGTTCACAGGATCCTAAGTGAGGAGTGAGGGCCAGGTGGGGTGGATATTAAAAATGAGGGTGCAGGGCAAATGACTCCTCCTGGGGGCTCAGGTCACCTCCTGGCTTCCAGGCAGCATTGAGGATAGCCTTCCTGACAGTGTCACACATACAGACCAGGCCTTGCTCCTTCAAGGAGTGAGTTTCAGCAGGAGCTAGCCATGCCATTACATCCTGCCCCGGGGGGGTTGGGAAGCAGCTCACGCATCACCTGGCTCACTCTGACTGCATTTCCAGCCAGAGGAGTGGAGTGTGATACGGAGAGCCTTAAAAGAGACCTATGGCGTACATGGACACACCCAGGCCACATGTCCCACGGTGCAGCGGCACATTGTTACTTCTCTGTCCCCCCTGTGCCTCTACCCCACCCACCTCAGCCCTCCGGTCCTCCCTAAATGAAGGAGTTCTCATCTAGTGTGGAAGGAATGTGACCACAGCTGCCCCCCCAAACGCCCTCAGCATCCTTATTGAGACAGTCTGGAAATCTTGGACTCTGCCTGCCTCTCCAGCTCCTTCCTGTGCTCTTGCAGGCATGGAGCGTCCACTGAGGCCCAAGTCCTGTGCTGAATGAAGCCCCCACCAAGGAGTGTGCAGGGCCTGGTCCCCACAGCCCTCCCGACCACCCTGAAGCCTACTGTGGGAGTCTGGCTCAGCCTCGCTTGGGGCAGTTGGTAACTGCGACCTCAGCAGCCGCATACTGGCCAGTTACTGACAGTGACATCCAATCTCCACAGCCTGTGGCAGGGGCCCCTGAAGGTGTCCCCAGGCAGTTCTGTCACCTTACAGTATTGGGTCAAGGTCAGAGATGGCAAGGCCTGGAGATAGGAATAGTGAGGGATATTTGGGGGTTCCATTGGAAATGGTTAACAGGCTTTTGAATCAGACACCCGTGAGCTTGAATCCTGGCAGATTCCTTAGTAGCTCCAGGACAAATTGCTTCCCACACTCTCGGCCTCATTTTCCTCATCTATAAAGAGAATATGCTTGACACTGGGTCATAATAAAATGAGCTAACCTGTGTTAAAGGACGGCAAGATGTGGCACATCTCAGGGGCTCCACGAGGTTAGCTTTCTTCTGATTATTCCGCTTCTCCCCAGTTAAAGACGGAATGTCCTTGCTTATTATGTCACAGACAAAGGTGGCTGGTGTCTTCCCACATTTCATCCCCTGGTGATGGCGGGTGGCGCTGGTCCCTATGTCTCCCATCTCTGCTCTGCACACACTCTAAATTCTCAGACTTCTTTCCTCAGGTCCAGTGACTTACCCAGGCTCCTACTCCCTACTTCCAACTGCCCCCCAGCAGCCCTCAGTAGGGGCAGGGAGCCTGGGTGTGCAAACCCAGGCCCAGACCCTTGGAGGCAGCCAAGTTCCCACAAGCCAGCCCGCCACTTAAATAGCAGAGTGAATCCCCTACCACTCCACCTTATTGTCTGTTACCTAAAATGAAAACTTCCCACACTACTGTCCTGTATAGGAACCTTCAGTAGCTCTCTATCACCCTCAGAACCAAGTCCCTGACACACAGGCCCTTTGATATCTTATCTGGGGTGTTTCTGTAGTCCCATCTCCCCCACAGGATGAGCCCTAGGCAAACCAAGTCACTTGCCTTCCTCTAAGCACCCGTGGCTGTTTCTCGCCTCTGTCCTTATGTACATTTCTAGTGTTCAATACTCCATGGCATGGTATGGTGTTCTTGAACTGCTTCATGCCTGAAGAGGAAGAGCTTGTAAAACAAAAAATATATTATTAAATACATACACACACATACAAATTCTTGACCTCTGAATCCTACTGCAGCTGGACCTCCACCAGGTGAGGGACCCAGGGAATCTGCATTTTTAACCAGTACCCAAGGGGACTCTGGAAGCAGCTGCTCTGCCTGTGCCTTAGCCGCCAATGGACTTCCACTCATCCACCCACCCCCTAGAGGTCCCTCCGTGGTCAGCACCTGCTGCTCCTTCCCATAGGAATGAGTCAGCACTCATCATCTGTCAGCTCTGACCCTGCCCCGCCCACTCTGAGCTCAGTGTTCCTGGCTCCCGTGACCCCCGTGGATCACAGCCAGAGTAACTGGAGAGCTTGGGAAAGAGAGACGGAGCAGAATCACACAGGTAGAGAGGGTCAGAGCTGAGCTGGACCTGGGAATGTGCCTTCGGAGCCCGGCTCTGTCACTGAAGGGCCCAGGTCACACCTGTCAACAGCGTCGTCGGTCGTCTGTCATCTTGAGCTGCTAACTGGTCCTCCTGCCCCCTTCCCCTCTCCTAGATCCTAAACTCCAGAAGGGAGGCGTTTTGTGTCCCCAAGGCCTAGTCTAGGATGGTAGGGGCTCAGTGAGCATTTCAGCAGCAGGGGGAGGAGGGTCGACAGGAGGGATCTGGGAAGGTGCCCTGGTTTCTTTGGTGAGGAGGAGGAAGCAGAAGAGGGAAGCGCCGAGTTCATTCACAGAGCGGCCCAGCGTCCCTCACCAGGACCGCGCTGCCTTTGTCTCCTGCAGGTGCAACCTGGCCCCGGTGCAGGAGTACGCCCAGGATGTGGGGCTCAAGACAGACCTGGTGACCATGAACCCCTCCGTCATCCAGCGTGCCTTCGAGGACCTGGTCAACGCCACGTGGCGGGAGAAGCTGCTGCAGCGGCTGCACGGCCTGAATGGCAGCATCCTGTGGATCCCCGCCTTCATGGCCCGCGGTGGCAAGCAGCGCGTGGACTGGGTCAACGAGCTCATCCTGAAGCACCACGTCAACGTCCGCACCGCCTACCCCTCACTGCGCCTGCTGCACGCGGTCCGCGGGTGAGCCGGGCCCGGGTGGGCTGCGGGTGGGCAGCACTCCTCCTCCCGTCCCTGCCACCTTTCCAACCCAGCTGTGGTGACCTCAGCAAGTCACCTGCCCTTCCTGGGCGCCTGTTTCTGGAGAAATGAAGGGAGCTGGCAGATAGGCTTCCTGGCCTGCCTGGAAGGCTGTGTGAAGAATGATCCTGCGGCGGTATCCAGGCTCACTGGGACAGAACAGAGGCTGGGAGGGGGGAGGGCAGACGGCGGCCACTGTCACCTATCGGCCATCCCAGGTAGGTGATTACTAAGAAATCAGCATCAGGGGGATTGGCTTCAAATACGTCACCTTAATCTCTCCAGCCTTGCATTTCTGCATCAGTAAAATAGGAATAGAAAGGGTAAGAGCTCGGCAATGTGGAGACTAAATGAGACAACAGTGTGGGAAATGCCTAGCACAGTGAGGGAAGTGTCAGGAGAGACACTCAGGGTTACCACCATCATCGATGTCACCACCATCAACTCCTCTTCCCAGTATAATGCTCTCTACTGCGAAATACACCTCGCGAGTGGAACTAAGAGAACTCCAGAGTGGGATATGTTTTTGTCCAGAAGGCTTCTCCCTAAGATGGAGGGGAAACTTCACGAGGAAAAGGAAAGAAATAGAATTAAAGCAATGGAACCCACTCTCTTTGAGAAGGTTCTCCTAGGTAAGCCTGGGTCTCTGATTCCAGAAAGGTGTCTCAAAATTAAGGGAAGGATGTTGAGGAGGTGCTGCCTATTCCTATCGAATAGATAAGGCCCTTCAATAGCCCGAGCCAAACAAGTGCTCCTTCCCAGTTTCCTGTTTACTTCCTCCCATCCCTGAGACCTAGTAGAGACCCCCCAGGCACTTGGACCACTCTGGAATGGTCCCGGAATAGCCCCATGCTCCCTAGAGCAGCCACCAGAGAACAGTTGGGTGTTCAGTTTTCTTTCACCATGCTCCAGTATCTGTTACAGTGAATTAAGTCTCCCCAAACTTAATGACTTGGGAGAACAACAATCATTTTGTTATTTCTCACAATTTCTGTTGATTAGGAATTCAGGAGTGGTTCTCCTGGGTGGTCTATGGTCAGGGTCTCCTACAGTTGCAGTCGGATAGTGACTGCCGGTAGGACAGCAGGGCCTGGAGCAGCTGGAATGAACCGTACCTCTCCTCTGTTCTCTTGGGGCTTCTCCAAGTGGTCTTTCTGGCATGGACTAGATTTGGGTTAGTCAAATGGTGGCATGGTGTCCTAAGGGCAGTTAGGCTGCTGACATGGTCCCAGCACCAAAGCAGAAGTGTCGCTTCTAATATAATCTAATGGCCAGTCACTAAGGTGGCTTAGAGTCTAGGGGAATGGATGTAGATCCCACTTCTCAATAGGAGAATACCAAACAAGTAATCATCATGGTTTAACACCTGCACACATTCATTTAACAAATATTTATGGAGTGATTAGCATGTGCTAGATCCTATTCTAGACTCTGTGTCTCAGTAGTGAATGAAGTAAGTCCCTGATCTCATTAGAAGTTAAATTTTCTGGTAGGGGAAGACAAACTATAAGTCAACAAAAAATAAGAGGCTTTCAGAGAGTGCTGTCAGGCTGGTCTGTGGAAATAAGTTGGTATGAACTAAGACTTGAGGAATGAGAAGGCTGCAGCCCTGCACAGAACTGGGGGAAGAGCTTTCCAGGTGAGAGAAAGCTCAAGTGCAAAGACCACCAAGGTGGAAGGGTGTCCTCAGAGATCAGCAGAGACACATGTGCTTGAAGCAGAGTGAGCAAGGGAAAAAGACAGGAGGAGCTGCTGGCAAGAGGCAGAGACTTTATACACTCAGCCTCGTGGACTGCAGTAAGGAGTACGATCTGATTGTAGGTTTGAGGGGCAGTCATGGAAGTCAGGAAGACTGAACTTACGTCTTCAGAAGACCCTGTGGTAAGAATGAGAATGAGGATAGGGGCTGGGGAGCTGCTGCAATAGCACAGACAGGAAATAATTGTGACTAAAATAAGGATGGGGATGTGGGCTGCATCACAGCTTGGTCAGATCTGCTCTACAGTGCAGAGGGGCAGCAGCAGGGTTTGCTGACAGGGCTACAGAAGGTGCATAACATGTGAGAAAAGAGAAAAACCGAGAATGAGTCAGGGCTAGAATGTGAGCAAACAGGTGGGTGGTGGAGCTGTGCCTTGTGATAGGAGAGCCTAGAGAAGCCTGTGTGTTCGGGGCACTGAGGGAGAGAGTTCTTTCTTGGGCATAAGTTTGAGATGCCTGCTACAAATATACACCATGCTTCAACTCCGCCGCTTTCACCAAGTACCTACTTGTCCATCCAACCGCATGGCAGACCACAGCCCTGCCCCAGGGATGTGGGAAAGCCCAGTGTACCAACGCCTCACCAACCGAGGGGCATTGGGATGCTCTCCCTGGGCCTCCTGTTAACAATAGGAAGCCCTTTGAGCCACCCACAGAGGACTTTTGTGCCCATAAAGATGACTCTGCTGTACCCAAGCCTAGGACCAATACTGGACCCATTTTGGTGGGTATAAACACAGGAAACCCACTGTCCCCAAAAAATACCTAACAAGAAATTAAGTAAGGGACAGCCACATTCATGGCTGATGTAGTTAGAATGACATCTGTCTGGACATGCCTCCCTGGACCACATCGGTTGACCTGTCAGGCTCCCTTTGACATCTTTTCACTTCATGCCTGTCACAGAAGGGGACAGCCACAGCGGCCCTCATCTCATGGATTTAGGCTCTAGTTTTTAAATGTTGTTTCTTCCTAGACAGAAGAAACTCTTGAGATAGTTTTGGGGTGCAAAGGGATAACAGAAGGAAAATACTGCCCTTTGGTAACCAAAGAAAAAGTCCCATGGACAGGGAATGGGCAACTACCTGGAAGAAACTTACACAGCCAGAGCTATTTTTAGCTATAATTGACTTACTTTCACCTGTCAAAATAGCATTAAGCACCAGTAATAAGCCCTTTAAACAAACAGGCTGTTAATCCTGAGACTGTGGCATCTTCCTTTGCAGGAGCTCCAGGGAAGAAAGACTGCAGGAGAGATGGATGGGCTGGCCCTGCTTTCAGCAAGGGGAGGAGGTGGGAAGAAGGGGGGCCTTGGAATGTGTTTCCGCTAATGTTCTTTCTCTTCATGGGGCCACTGGGCCTTACAGCACTGTGTTCAACAGAGTATCTGTTAAAAATGGGGAGCATGCATAGTGAGAGGAAGGACTTGCTTGCTTCTGCCTTGGTGAGACCAACTTGGTGTGCCCTGCAAGGAAGGAACAGGCTGGTGAGGGATGCAGAAGGAAGTCACATGGGGAAAACCAAGGAATTGTGGAGAAGGCAGAAGAGGAAGCTGGAACCTGGTCAGGGACAATGTGGCCTTGTATCCAAAATATGGACACCTCTGAAGGTTTAGATCCCAGCTCCATTACTTGCTTGGTTGCATTGTGTGTCTCCCTGCCCCCAAGTTCTGCTTTCTTTGTCTTCTCCCTAACGAACCCTATCTGTTTTAGATCATGTGTCTCATGCTACCTAAGGAGTCTGAGGGATCAGTCAGTGGTGCTACCATGGCTGCTGCCACCAAGTACCTGGACAGCCACCATGTGGGAAAGTGGTTAGACTTGTCCTATAACTCACAAAGGTAACTCTAGAGCAGAAGTGGACACACAAGGAAAAATGTACCAGACTATAGGACTCTACAGGAGTCAGAGCGGTGGACTAAATCACACTAGTCATGAGTTCTTCACTTTGGAGCCTAAATCATGGCCTGTAGCTTGTAGACAAATATTGTTTCTTCATTTAAAAATCCATTGCCTACGAAACCCCATGGATAGGGTATGTGTGGAAGGATAAACTTTTGCCATAAAATATGCATAAAATTAAATTTACCATTTTAATAATTTTTTTTGATACTGGGGATCAAACTCGGGACCTTCCACTTGCAAAGCAGGTGGCAGAACCACTGAGCTAAATCCCCAGCTCCACCATTTTAATAATTTTAGAGGTAGATTCCATTTATAAAAATTTCAGTCTTAGAATACAATTGAAAGCATTTTACATAAAAGATGATCTCTGAAGGGAGTTTAAAAAAAAAACCTAGAGGCCGCCATAGCACCACTCCCAGCACAGAGGAGGTGAGCCGTGCAGGCGCCAAGAGCACATACCCCTCCCGTCACCCAGGTAAAAATGAGAAGACACATAAACAAGCCTCAAAACCAGATTTCCAGATCACCTACAGCAACCAACCCCAAAGGGAAACAACATGGAACAATCTGGTACTCAACCACCTGGACTCCCTCAACTGGCAACAAAAGAGGATCTGGAAAAAAATGAAATCAGAAATAATTTCTCAGATAACAGCAGAGATTGTGCCCATAGTGCAAGACATGATTAATAAATCTAGACAGGACACAGATAAAAAAAAAATAGAGGAGCTGAGGAACATGATGGAATCCCAACATAGGAAACAAATGGAATCCATAAAACAGATGCAAACAGGTTTCCAGGAAATTAAAAACTCCATTGAAAGCTTACACAGCAGAATGAGCCAATGTGAGGACAGAATTTCAGATATATAACATAAGATTGCAATTAGTGACCAGGAAAAGAAAAATTGCTTTAAAATTGCAAGGAACCACGAGAAATCAATCCACCAGCTGCTAGACGATGCAAAGAAGATTAACATAAGACTGATCGGAGTCGATGAAGAAACAGGAAAGAGTGCAGATAACATAAAAAATACTTCACAGAAGTGATGGCAGAAAACTTCCCAAGAAGGGGAAAAGAACTTGACATACAGATAAGTGAGGCATATAGGACTCCAAATAGCCTTGATCAAAAAAATCTACACATAGGCATATAATTGTTAAGATTCCAGAAACCCAACAGAAGAACAAAGTTCTACAAGCAGTAAGAGAAAAGAAACAAATCACATACAAAGGAAAGCCCATCAGAATCACAGCAGACTTCTCAGTGCAAACCCTCAAGGCAAGAAGAGCTTGGAGTGATGTATTTCAAGCCCTAAAAGAAAACAGCCTCCAATCCAGATTGATGTACCCTGCAAAACTATCTTTCAAAATGGATGGAGAAATAAGATACTTTCATGACAAAGAGCACCTTAGGAACTTCATGAATACCAAACCAGCACTCCAAAGAATTTTAGACAATATCCTAGGAAAACACAACAAGAATCACAACCCCAGGAAACCCAGCAGAATGAATCCATTGGGTGTGACAAGAAATTAAATGCAAAGGGGGAGAACCCAACAAAAAGAAAAAGTGATGACAATGATAAGTCAATACGTATCAGTTATAACCATCAATGTTAATGGTCTCAATTCACCATTCAAAAGAAATACACTGGCAGAATGGGTCAAGAAGCAAAATCCAACAATATGCTGCATACAAGAAACACACTTAATTCAAAAACGCTCATAGACTGAAAGTTAAAGGGTGGAAAACAATACTCCATGGGACAGGAACCCGAGAAAAAGCAGGAATAGCTATCGTCTTTGCCCATCAAGTGGATTTCAAACCAAAATCTGAAACATTTCTGTTCCCAAGAACTTCAGATAAGGGATAGTCACTTGTATGTACAAATCTATTGTGACCATGTGTTTCCATTCCTCTTAAGTAAAAACTTAAGAACAGAACTATTGGTTCTTAACAGTAATACAAGTAATTTCTACATTATTTTCCAAAATGGTTTAATCATTTTGCATTCACATTAGCAGTATTCGAAATGTCTAACTGATTCACACCTAAGCTGACATCTGTTCTTTTAAAAACTTTTAACTTCATCTCCCTAATGAGTGTATAATAAAATCTTGTTATTGTAAAAAAAAAAAAAAACCCTAGAGAATAGGAGAAAATGTTTACAAGTGATATATCTGTTAAAGGATTGGCATCCAAGATATATGAAGAACTCCTACATATCAACAGCAAAAACAAGGGCTAGAGAAAATGAGGAACTCCATGCTTATTCAAGGTCTCCCACCCATCAAGTGGCACAACCAGGAACAGACCCACATTTTTTGACTCTCATGCAGTGCACCAGATGGAGCAGAAATTTGCACAAACCCACTTCTGGGTTGGTGGGGAGTGGAAAGGAGAAATGGGAGCTGTGTAGGCTGGGAGTTACCACATTGGTTACCAGTCCTTTGAGACGCTACATACGCACTGTAGCTACTCAGAGTATGAGACAGCTTTCCCACCAGGTGGAAAAAGCCAAAAGAACAGAACACCTGGGTTTAACACCACCTTGTTGAACGAAACCCTTTTGCCCCTTGTCCAGACAGACGATTGTCATAGCCCTCCCAGACTTGCTTGGCTATTCCTTTGCATCCAAGGAATCTCTTTTTCTTTCATCTGAGGAATCTTTTAGAAAAAATGCAGTCATGCTCAGATGGCATTCACCTGTTCTGAATGCTACGGTGGAGGGTTTGAAGTAGCACATGTAGGAAAATTAGATGAGGGGCACACATCATCCTAGCTGAAGCTTATGTGCCCAATACTGTGCTAAGTGTTACCTCAAGTAATGCGAGAACTACCACTATTATCTCCATTTTAAAGAGAGAAAAACTGAACCTTAGGGAGTCACTTGCTTAAAGTCCTATGACAGGTAAGGAACAGATTCCAAGCTTCCCCGTTGTTCCTTATCACCACCTGTTTGCCTCTCTTTCACTTAACCAGGAATTAGTGATGGGACCTAGGAGAATGACATCAGGAAGGCCAAGCCAAAACAAGTTTGAATTTAGGAAAATATTAAGAAAAATAAAAGAGGGCTGCAGTTGTGGCTCGGCGGCAGAGCACTTCCCTAACATGTAGGGCCCTGGCTTCAGTCCCCAGCGCCATGAAAAAAAATGTTTATTATATTTCAGGTAAGACGAACCCAAAAAGACAGGAGAAGGGAGTAATGAGGTTACAAAGGACAGAGGTGAAACCAATGCCTCAGCTCTTGTTCTGTGTTTTTTTTTTCTCTTAGCAAAAGGGATGCGTCTTTTACCTGGGTGGGGTAAGGAGGTCTTTGTATCTCTAATCCCAACTCATTGCTTTAAGCCAGTGTTTCTTAACATGATCCCTGTACCACCAAGCTTGGCCTCTCCTTTGTGCTTGCTGGAGGTGCAGATTCTCCTGCCCCCCACTGACATACGAAATCAGGAACTCTCAGGCTGGGGCCCTGAGATCTGTGTCCTAATAGGTCTTCCAGATGATTCTGGTGCATGGCATATGTTGGAGAAACACTGCCGTTAACAAAATCAGGACTAATTAACATTCCAGGAAAAATTTGCAATCAGACCACTGAGCAGCTGGCCATGACCTACTCCTGATGGTGCTATCCATCAGGGGCAATCCAGGAAGGCAAGCTGCCCCAGTTTCTAAACATGGGGACACCGTGGACCCTCATGAGCTTGACATCAACCTCAAGCCAGAGTTTTAAAAAGTTATCAGTTCAATGGCTCATGAATACCTAAAGATGGAGCAGTAAACATCATGAGCAGAATGTGCTCACTGAGAAATAGCAGGGCACACTCAAAAAGTAGTGTCCCTTTACAAGGGGGCAGACAGGTGAGCTGGGATCTGTGTGCTCATTTTATATCTAGACCTAAGTCAACTACTTTGGCAAAGTATTCTGTGGGTGACAGTGACCCAATTGATAATTCAGGGAAAAGAAGAGGATGATTTCATCCCTTTCTCTCATAAGAAAACTAAGGCACAGAAATGTTAAGTACATTGTCCCAGGTCATTCAGATGAGAAGGAAGAAGTTGCTGGGATTGGAATCCAATGTATAAGCTCCAAAGATCTCTGCTTTTCCCCTTGCCACCCCTTTTCATATCCTGACAGGTAGACTGACCACTATCTGTTCACCACTGATGCCCAAAGTACTAATTAATTAGATTAATTTTCACCTCATGGAGATCTCTAGGAACCTGCCACCAGGCTCAGTCCCTAACCCCTTTTTTGCCAGTGACTTAAATGAGGACATCATTGGTCTTCTTAGCAAATTCACCAGTGACATGAGTTTTGAGGAATTCTCAATATTCAGTGTCTCAAAGTTAACTATAAATCAATCTGAGAGAAAGAAATTTAATACATATTAATTCCAATTTCAATACTTAAGGACAAAATAATGGTACAAGTTTAACATGAAAAGTACTGGCCAACAGTGGATGTGTAGCTGCCCCACAGGACAGTGTGGTCTTAGGTGACCATCGGGGTTGTGAAGCATCTTTGAGAGAAAAGGAGGTCAGGGCAGCCTTTGATTTTTCTACCTGATCAAATTGCACTTGGAGAGTCACATTTACTTTTGGGTACCAGACTGGAGAGGAGCCACACTGGCAGAGAAATTGGAAAGTTGAAAGGTTTGGAGCGAGAAGAAGGCTCCACAGAGCATGAGCGCCATCTTCCTTTGTTCAGCAAAAACTCTTTTGGGTACCTGAAGGCCCCTGGGTGTTCCATGCTGGTGAAATACAGAAATCAGTAAGACACAGTCCCTGCTCTTGAGCGCAGAGTTGACCTATGAAGCTTTAGATGTAGAACTAGATTTGGGAGAGGATCTATAGGAAGCCAGGTTCCATGTGGACACTGGCAAGAATGGCCCAACACATAAGATCCTCTGAACCGAGCCTGTCTTCCTTCAGCAGGGCAGGTGGGGAATTCAGCATCCTTGGGGATGATGGCAGCAGCGAAGCCCCTTACTGGAATGATGGAGAGGGACATGCGTGTCATACGGACAGAGTTGTCATATTAGTCAGACTGTCATAACAAGAAACCAGCTCAGGTGGCTTAAACTACAGAAATGTCTTGTCTCACAGTTCCGGAGCTGGAAGCCCAAAATTAAGACAGCAGGGTCCATCCCTTTGAGGCATGTGAGGCAAGGGTTTGTCCCAGGCCTGTCCCCTTGTCCTGTATGTGGCCATCCTCATGTTCACATGGCATTCTGCCTGTATGCCCACCTCTCTCCACACTTCCCATTCATAAGGACATCAGTCATTTTGGATTAAGGCTCACCCTAGTGGTCTAATTTTAACGTGGTTACCTCTCTGAAGACCCTGTCTACAAATAAAGTCAAATAACAACCCAGGACAGATGGGTTAGACAGACTCCCTTCCCACTTGGAGTCCTTGATTCAGCAGGGTACTTAAAGGTTCTGGCCCATCTGAAGCTGTGACCCAGGAATTGCAGGGTGCGGAACCTGGCAGCTGGTGGGGCTTAGCTTCTGGTGCCCATGAAGCCCC